CTAAAGCTAAGGGACTAATATTGTAATTATTGGATGGTTGCAAAGAAGGGTAAGGAAACCCTAGAGATAAGGGTGGACGAATTCTTGGGGATAAGACCTTAGAATTCGTCCAAGGTAGGGATTCCAGAACATTCTTATGGGCTGCTTAGAGCCTAAGCAACCGGATAAGTGTTTGACTGAAACCCTAACTCCTCACCTATATAAAGGGACCATTGGCCACCTAAAATTGGCTACACATAACCCTAAGAGTTCTAGGAGCCAATTTTTAGCCTTCCCCTCTCTCTCTCTTGCCTTCTTCACTTGTTTTGGTGTTTGTGATCTATTAGAGGCACAACATTTGAGGTGCTAAGGTTCTCAAAGGCTCAAGTTCTTCAAGCAACAATCAAGGTAACTTTCTAACTAGTTTATTATAGATGATTTCGATTTTTATGATATGCTAGGTTAGGGTTTTGCAAGTCTTGGACAATTATGCGTGTACAAATTAGAAAAACTAGATCCAAGCATTAGGGTTTGCATGTACACCATAGGATTGTTATAATGCTCAAAACTCATCATAAACAACACAACCAAAAACCTTCAAATGTTCAAGGTTTGATTTATTTTATCAAACCAAGCTTCACACACCGTGATGCCGGAAAGGGATTGTGTAGGTAAGCGGTTGAGATGATAAACCGAGTTTCTAACGGTTTCTCCCCATAATTCTCATGGTACATCTTTTTCCTTTAAGTAGACTCATTGCTATATCCATAACAGTATGATTTCGTCTCTCTACAACTCCATTTTGTCATGATGAATGAGGAGTTCGTCCTTCATGGCTAAAATGCATGTGGGTCTATTGATTCCCAAGTCGAGAATGTCATATCCAAGGCAGTTCGTCCTTCATGGCTAAAATGCATGTGGGTCTATTGATTCCCAATGGAGTTTTGTATAACCGGTTCGATGATCTTTGAATTCTCAAAAGTAAAATTTTATTTCTATCAAATGACGTCAAAACTGACCCATCAATAATGAATCGACTTCCTTCTTCCATCATTTGTCTAAGACTAATGATGTTATTTTTAAGACTTAATATACTTCATTAAAAAGTCTTTGGATGCTATTTTTACAATCGAATAAAATTGACCCTTTTCCTAAAATAGAAACAGTGGAATCATCGCCAAATCTCACATAACCCGTAATGTTTCCATCCAATTCATGGAACTTTGACCGGTTTCCCGTCATTTGGTTACTAGCACCGTTGTACTAGACTATCCCCTGATGCAAGAAGATTAACACAAATCTTCTCTTTTAGCGACACCTTTCTGGTTATATATTCTTGTGAGATTGCCATCATCAAGATGGGTGCCTCTTCATTGGCTTATGTGAGGTTCGCATCCTCACGACGGTTTTTTTATGGGCGCTCCGATGCATAAAGACCAAACATCTCACATTTAACGCATTTTACTTTGCTTTTATCCTTTTTCTGGTCATTTTGTTTTGCATTGGATTCACTTCCATATCCTCGAACACACCCTTATCATCGACCTCTTCCTTGGCCTCAACTACCATGACTACATCTATGCTTTGAGGTGTTTGACGAGCTCCCCTCATCGGTTTTCTTGAATCGTGATTGCCACTTGACATATATAAGCAACAAGGAAAGTTCATATCCTTGTTCTCCATAACCTTAAAGTCTTTCTTCATGGGTTTTTCAACGACCCACAAACTCTTCCACAATCATGGTTTTTAAGTATCCAAATACCGGTTACAATGGTATTTAATATCATGAAAAAAATCATCCACCGATTCATCGTCTTTCATTTGGATAACCACGAAATCACTTCTCACTGTTTGTACTTGAGCATCTTTTACTCGATGGGTTCCCATGTGCCTCACTTTAAGCGTTTCCCATCCTTTTTTGGACGTGTCCTTCTCAACTAACATAAGTATCACATCCTATGGAATTGCTTGATAGATAGCAGCTAGAGCCATTCGATCTTTCTCTTCTTCTACATCTTTATCTTGAATTGCATTCCACACTCCTTGTGCTTGAAAATTCACTCGAATTTTTTTCACCAACAATGAGTAATTTAAACTCCGTAAACATTGGATAGTGTAGTGTAACACTACCATTCTTTTCGGATTTTTTAACACCTTGAACTTTATCTGCAATGAGTAACCTTGACATGTACTTCGGTATACAATAACCATGCTCTGATACCACTTGTTGGAAATAAGGATCTAATTGTATGCAATATTAAAGTTAAATTACCGTTCTTAGAATGTGCAAATAAAATGCATAGAAGCAGAAGAGTGAATAAGGAAAAGTATTTCCAAGGACTTAATCTTTACTGAATAAAAGTTAAACGGTTACAACTTAAAAATTGGTTGCAAGAAATGGATGAACACCACTCAAACTTATTGTTTGAGACAACTAATCTTATAATAAAAACTAAACTACTCATATCTAACAAGATCCCCTAATTCTTGAAAGTCTACTATATTTACTAATATAGTAACCAATATAGACATGAGTCATTTGTTTTATCTGACAAACAACACACAACACCGAAGATGCTTTAAATAACTATACCATATAATTGTTTATTAATAAGAAAATGTATCTAGGAAAGAGAAACATATCCTTCCTATGAGAGAGAAATCATTTTTTTATCCCACCCTTCCTTTTCTATCAATACCTTCTTTTTATATCCTTCCCATGAGAGAGAAAGCTACCCTTCCTTTCTATCATTCCTATGTTATCCTTCCCTTTCAAGGTTTAACAAAAAGTTATCTGACAATTCCCTTTATTATTGGTATTATCCAATTTAATATCACAC